AATGACCATATCGTTAAAATATTTGGTTACATTTGACCCAGTAGAAGCATCCGTGGTTCCTCCAAAAATACAGATATTTCCATAATTATCTTGAACAGCGTGCATTTGTTTCCTTCTCGATGGTACGATTCCAATAATACTGTCATTATTCCAAGTTAAGGATCTAAGATCAAATTGGTATGTCATTCCTAAAAAATCATCCCGATTTGTGATTGGATCAAAAGTCGTTCCGCCAAAGAGGAAAACAAAAGAGTCGGTGAAGTCAGTAGAAGCTGTTGCCCAGGCACTTCCATATGGAATAGGTGAAATGTTCGTTAGGTCAGTCCATGGTGGCGATTCAGTGTCAAAGTCTTTACCCACATCTAAGTAATATACACTTTTAGATGCATAAACTCCACCAAAGAAATAAATTTTATTATCAATATCCATAAATACTGTTGAATGAGAATAAGTTGCAGGTGCGATAAATGCCGAATAAATTGGAATCATCAGGTGCCAGAGAAAAAGCAATATAGACAAAGAGCGTACATTAAATTTGGTGGTCTTATATTATATATTGGAGGAAAGGAGTTTACTGGTTTAACAGTACAAACTGTTGCTTTAAACAATGTACGTAAACTCAATCTTTTATAATTTATTTCCAACCAAATACCGTAAAAAATATATAAATAATGTCGCTTTTCATTTAGATTACCACGTATGACTTCAATAACTACACATGGGGAGCAGTGGTGGGTACATTGCACGTACACAGACATAGTTAAATAATATGCGTTAAACATACAATATCTATATAGGCGGCTTCTAGCGAATCAACTTTTGAAAATCGCTTCGGACATTCTTCTGTCATAAGTAAGCGTTTCTTTTTTACGAAAGGCATTCTATTATAACCCATGCGGCGCACTAATATTTTTGACCTTAATGTTAGCACTAGATGATTTAGTTTTTTGTTATGGCGGGGCAAAATTAAATGACACGGCCGTTAGTAATCAACTCATTATATTGAACGTAACAGCTTCTCCTTACAAGTGGTTTGAACCGACAGTTAGCTGGAAATCACCACCTGGTCTATTTTATCATTCTGCTGATTCAGTAGGAGATTTTATGATAATAGCGTTTGGTAAGCA